GATTTTCATCATTTTTATCACTGTCATGTAGGTTCACATCACTGTATCCCACGTGGAACGTCACACATGTGGTCAAGCAGCTCATCCTTCTGTCCACTAGAGCGCTTGGCCTCCAATGGACAGGCTAGTTTAACTGATGTTCGTGCTGGATTTGGACCGTGCGGCTGGAGCAGCTGCGGTTCAAGGCGGTAGAAAAGACCGGTTCGGCCGCCAACTATACGGACACACAGGAGAGGTGGCACGGGTGGCTGCCACAGGAAGATGGTTAACAGAGCAAATATCACTTCTACATTCTCACAGTATAACCTCTGTCTAACAGGTTATGGGTGCAATGGTTCATACTGTTGCCACGGACGAAGTCCAAGGCAAGCCGGAAGCAGAGCCTAGTCGCGAAAGGGCAGGCAGCCAGTACGGCGAAGATGATGAAGTCAAGAAGGCGGACGACGAAACGAAAGGGACGCAGGACAAGCTACTAGACCTACTCAAGGACGTCGCAGTGCGCATGGGACGCCTGGAGGAGTCGCAGGAGCGACAGGAGGAGAAAGAGCGCAAGGGTCGAGAGAGCAGCGTTTTCGGGTCGTCGCTGGGCCTGGGCAGAGCCATGGACATTCAGGCCCTGGACCAGACGCCACCGCGGCGCACGTCGCCTGCCGTCTCGCCAACCACGTACTTCGGGATGAAGCAACGTGAGTACCGAGATGCAGCAGCGAACGTCGAGATGGCTCAGGCGCCACAGCCGGCGCTGCCGCAGCACCATGTGCCGCCGCAAGCGTATCGAGCGCCACCGCCACCGTCGCCAGGTCCGGGATTCGCTGGGGTACCTGACACCCGGCAGAGGAAGCTGGGGATCCGGCCGTTCGACGGAAAGGAGCTGTACCATGGGCTAGGGAGCGGTTTCCTGGCGTGGGGCAAGCGCTTTGTGCGCCAGATACAGTTCGCCGAGCGTGCTAGTGGGTTCCAGTGGACCGAGGACGTCAAGTTTGACATTCTCGGTCACCATCTCAGCGGAATGGCCGAGAGGTACTACAACCAGCAGGTTGAAGGCTGGTGGGAAGAACAGCCGACGCTCGAGCATGCGATGCAGCGGATGCTGCACACCTTCGCCACGAAGATCACACCCGCGCAGAGCATGAAGATGTTCACGGCACCGAAGAGCTCCAAGAGAAGCTGGACAGAGCACTACCTATACCTCGTGGCAGTTAGCGAGGCGTGCGGCGGTGCGGACAACCTGGTCCTAGACAACATCGTGCACTACGCGGATCCGAACATGCGAGTGTCGATGCTGTCCAGGCTGAACTTGGCACGCACGGACTACCTGCGCCAAGCGGAAGAGCTGGCGCACTTCGCCCAGTCGACGGAGATCGAGCTGCGAGGCAAGCAACTGGGGCGAGACGTGGTCAACGATATGCACGAGGATGAGAAGAACGACCGCAAGTGCTACAAGTGTGGTAAATCTGGCCACTTGCGGGCGGCCTGTCCGAACAAGAAGAAGAGGTGGGGCGAAGGCACGGACGCTGACTTCGTGCTCACGGTCGAGGAGTCGGCCACAGAGACGGAGGACTGGATCCTGGACAGTGGATCCAGCCGTCATCTGGTGAATGATCCGGAGCTGCTGGAAGACGCGGAATACTACGAAAGTCAATGCGTGGCAGCGGACGGAGGAGCGCTAAAAGTAACTAAGCGCGGGAGCGTGATGCTCGTGACCACGGCGATGGGAAAGATGACCAAAGTGCGGCTGCTGAACGTGCAGTACGTTGAAAACTTGGAAAGGAACATCATATCGTACGGGTTGCTGGAGGCGAAGGGGTACGGACTCGCGTACCGAGGGAAGCACCGCGTGGTAGCCAGCATCAACGGCGGGCCGGCGATGTTTGACGTCGAGAAGACGAACAACGTTCTCACCGTGCGTGCAATAGAGTCCAGAGGCACGGGGCGGAAGGGCAATGTGTTGATGTCGGTGTTGGCGGAAGGTGAGGCGAATGTCGGCAGGGCCGTGCAGACCGGGCCGCTCATGCATTTCCACCGTAGGTTAGGGCATCTGAACTACGGCACGATCATTAAGATGGCCAAGGACCCGGCATCCGGGATTGCACTCACGGACGAGGTGAGGGCGAACTGCTTGGCTTGTGCCCAGGGCAAACAGACCAAGAAGAAGCAGTCGCGCAAGGACACCGGGGCAAACTCGCCCATTGACGTGATCGGAGGAGTCATCTGCTCCGACCTGAAGGGGCCGATGACTCCGAGAGATCGACTAGGAAACCGATACATGGTCAACTTTGTTGATCATGGCACTAACTACTGCAGGGTCTTCTTGGCGAAGACTAAGGACGTCGCGGCACAGAAGCTTAAGCATTTCATGGCATACTTTAAGCGGCAGTTCAACTGCCGTATACACGTGCTGAGGACGGACGGTGGTGGAAAATACAAGACCCTGGATCTCTTCTGCAAAGATACCGGAATCAGGCGGCAGATTAGCGAGCCACGAAACCAGGCTAGTAACGGCAAGGCGGAACGAATACACCGCACCGTTATGAATATGGTGCGGAGCATGGTGTTCGCCTGTGGCCTTCCGCTTAGTTTCTGGGGGGATGCTGCGGAATATGCAGCCTATATCCTAAACAGGAGCCCGACGAAGGCTAACCCGGGATCGAAGTCGCCACTGCAGATGCTCACGAAGAGCACACCGGATTTGAGTGACATCGTGGTTTTCGGGTCGCCCTGTACGGTGCACGTGGACGCAAAGAACAAGTCCCTGGGTGAGCGGGGCAAGACGGGCATGATCGTGGGAAAGAACGACGAGATTAAAGGCTACCGGGTGTATCTCCCGAAGGATAAGGTAGTCGTAGTGACGCAGCATGTGAGCAACGTCGAGACGTTGTCGGACGCAGAACGAGCAATTGAAGCGCGTGCACCTGGAGGACTCCGAGGAGTCGGAGGGCACGGGCGCATCGGAGACAGACACTTCGAGGAGAAAGACGAAGGAAAGCGAAGCGTCGCGGGAAGAAATCTCGCTGGACGCGGGATAGGTATCAGACGCGCTCGCTACGCGGAAGCCCGCTGAGGCGGTGGCGAGTGGAGGCGCTGATGAGGATCAAGTGGAACAGACCGCGGACGTGGTGAACAGCGTGCGGGAGCCCGACCCGAAGAACTACCGGCAGGCAAAGAGGAGCAAGCTCTGGAGGAAATGGCTGGTTGCCATCGCGGAGGAGCTCAAAGCGCTGAAGGAGAACGGCGTGTGGGTCGTGGTGGTGCCACCGATCGGCAGCCACGTACAGCACACTAAGTGGGTATTCAAGACCAAGACTGATGCAGACGGAGCCATAGAAAGGTTCAAGGCCAGGCTCGTTGCGTGCGGCCAACGAGCAGATCTTTGGCGTGGACTTCGGGCTCACGTTCGCGGCGGTCATGGAACTGAGCACGGTGAAGGTCATCCTGGTTTTTGCTCGTCGCTGGGGCGTGCCGGCGAGGCACGGGGACATCCCCAACGCGTACGTAAAGGCCGACAAGGAGCAGCATCTCGAGATCTACCTGGAGATCCCACAGGGAATGGTGATCGGAGATGAGGTGATGCGCAGGCTCGGAGTGAACGTCAAAGGTAAGCTGACGCTACGCTTGAGGAAGTCGTTGTACGGCCTACGCCAAGCAGGCAGGCTGTGGAGTCAACTCCTGCACGCGAAGCTGGAGGAGGCGGGGTTCACACGGTGCGTGACGGACATGTGCCTATACTACAAGCGAGAGGACGGCGAGATGACGCTCGTGGGCGTGTACGTGGATGATCTCCTGGTC